CCCCCCCAAACCAAAAAAAAAAAAAAGAAAAAAAAACCCAGGAACAACCAGAATGAATCCCCACTCCAACAAGCCAATTCCCAATCCCAACACCATACAAACAAACTCACAAATAAAGTCAAGATTTAATTGATCAGGCACGATAACAAAAGTTCTTGGCACCATCTGTCACTTTATTTATCACAGTACGAACAATTAAATCCAACAAGCAAACCACCACCACCTTCTTCTTCTTAATATATATTAAACCCAAGTTCCAACATAATAAAAAAAAACAATAATAATAATAATTACCCCACCACAAACAACCCCCTCACTACTACTCCCCATCACCACCAATATATATATATATATATATACACATACAATAAGTACAAGAATAAACACAACAACAAACACCCTCAACCCAATATTTAAAAAAATGACCACAAAAGCCACCATCCTAATCTACACGGGCTCACCCCTCGACTATCCCGAATACCGCCACACAGCACTCCACTTCACCTTTGCGAGCGGCACAACCAGCACGATGCACATAGTCGGCACGCAGGGTCTGTTCATCTTCCAAGAAGACGTGGACCTCGATCCGCATGAGTTTGGGAGCGAGTTGGCGAAGACGGTGGTCGTCGGGGAGATCGATGGGGATGTGAGTCCGGAGACGATTCGGCGGGCGGTGTCGGCGACGCCGGTGAGGAATGGGAGGGAGGATTTGGATTGGAATTGTCAGAATTGGGTCGGGGATGCGTTGATGATGTTGGTTGAGAGGGGGGTTTTGTCTGCTGCGGTGAGAGAAACGGCGGTTGATGGGATGGTGGAGGGGTGTTTGGAGGCTAAGGATCAGTGATTTCTCTCTTCTTCTTTTTTTTTCCTTTTTTCTTTTTGCCCTTTTTTTTTGTTTGTGGTCGTGGGGTTGATTGGATGTATATATTTATATTCCTTGCTATTGTGGATTTGTAGGGCTGAATATACTATCCTAACGCTAATGGTGATATGCTTGCATTACTTGTCTAGATGGTGTGTGTTCGTTTAGGTTAGTCTGTTTGTCAAGGGATATTTCGTAATTGAACATGTTTTAGATTCAAAAAAGTACACTGATATCTTCCATATCTATATCTAACAACGATCTATGTATCTAGAACTTGTAGACCTGGTCCTTGTTGTAGCCCAGCTCCTTCAGGATACCAGACAGCTCACCCTGGTCCTTCGGGCTGACCTTGTTACCGCTAACGGCGTTGTAGAGACCAGGAGGTCCGCAGACGAAGATCTTCTGGTTCTCCTCCTTGGGCTCTGGAAGGACGGTCTTCAAGAGCTCCTTGGTGATGTAGCCCTGGCCGCCAGTCCACTCCTTGGGGGGCTTGTCGAGGAGGTAGAAAGCCTTGAAGCGCTGGGGGTAGGTGTTCTCGAGATCCTGAAGCTCCTTCTTCAGGAGGATGTCATCCTCGCTGACGTTACCGTAGACAAGGGTAACCTTGGTCTTGTCCTCGGGGTTCTTGAAGATCTGACGGATGAGCTGGTACATGGGAGTGATACCGGTACCACCGGCGATCAGGGCAATGTGCTCATGCTTGTTGGTCTCCCACTGGTACTTGGGGAGAGGGCCCTTGAAGGAAAGACGCTGGTCAACATTCATGCTGTGAATATGCTCAGACATGGGTCCGTTCGGGTAGACCTTGACGACAAGGTCAAGGTAGCCAGGCTGGTCTGCCACGGTGATAAGTATTTATTTATTTATTTATTTTTGTTCTGATCATGAAAGGGGTAAATAGTTACCTTCATCGCTGGTGGGAGTGTAAGGACGGAGGACGGCCTTCTCGGCGCCAACGGGCTTGAACTTGGTCAAGAGAGCGGCTGATTTTTCGTCAATAAGACTATCCGGGCAGACCATCGTTTGAACCACTCACAAGCAATAGTGACACCGGAAACGGCTTCCTTGTCCTCGAATTCGAAGCGCAGTCTCTTAGTATTGTGGCTGAGGACCTCAATTTCCGACAGCTTCAGGTCCACCCATCCCTGGTCACCACCGGTGAAAACCTTGGCGCGCTCGACGGGAGCCTCAGCGGTAGCAGCAGCGCCGTAGTAGTAGCGGTACAGACCCACACTGAGACCGGTAAGGCCGACAGCAGTGTAGATAGGAGCCAGCGACTTGGCCTTGGGAGCCTCCGTAGAGTACTTGCGGAAACTCTACGCACATGGGTCAGCACAAATCCGGAACAAGTGTGAGAAAAGCGCAATGGTCCTTACCTGCCTCAAGGGCTGGGCGCAGCGGAAGGTCTGACGGGCGAACATTTTTTGAAAGCGAATGAGACTGGAGGGGGGTGTTCAATGGGGTAAGAGGAGAAAGCGAGAAGATTAGAAAGACGGCTGGAGAACTACTAACTAAAGTACCTTACGTTAACTGAGCTATCTTTTCGTTTTCGGGACCCGCCCTCCGACCTCGCCGATTACACATGACGCAATACCTGCCCTAGGGGTCCCTGGCATTCATTCCGTGCCTATTACTAACCCGCTACTTCAATTCCGCTGCATTTCGCTGCACGATTGTCCTGATGAGTCGCATGATTATGGGGACAACTATCTAAATTGCTTGCCATAGGGCCGGCGGGTTACGTAGTGTTTAGAGTGCGTGGAATATATTTTTCCGCGGTCATGGACAGTCCGAACCATATATCCGACCCGATTAGAAATATATCCGATAAAGCATGAGTCCTAGTGTCTCAAGTTTATATACTTCAGTGTAGATGAAACTGGGAGAAATGAAGACAGACCGGGGCAATCCAACCCTCCGGGCATTGACGCCTGTCTATCCAATAGATGTAGCCGGTATATCTTGAAATATCGCACACGGTATAGTCCATGGGTAGTATCGAGCGAGACGCTAGACCTACGATGGCTTCGGTATCATATCGACCAAAGAAAGCAAAGTTGAGTGTAGCATATACTATGTACGTAGGGGGAGTGACCTGTCTACCAGCAGGAAATTTACTTCATTCACCTCGTAGAGAACCGTCACATTCAGAAGACAAACCCGGTATTTTTAAGAGATTTAACTAGAAAGGTCGCTGCAGAGGACTAGTGAGACATCAAAACCATTTCTCCCATTATCTGGGTTGTAGATACACGCCATGTTCTCTGCGTGCTCTGTCCTGCATGCATGCTATGGCCATAACATAGTCATTTCATCCGCACACTCCTTCCCCGAACACCCAAAATTTCACATTTAAGCGAAGGTAGCAGGACGAGAGTAAGCGAAGATCTTCTTGCCCTCGGTCTTGGCGGCACGGTGAGGCAGAGGGAACTTGAGGTCCTTCTGGAGGAGCTGCTTGATGTAGGGGCGGCGGATGGAGTCGGCGTTGTCGACCTCAACAACCTTGAGGATCTGCACAGTATCGTTAGTCCAACTCAAATTAACCATCGTCCGCCATCAGTAGAAAACATACGTGGATGGAGCCGAAGCGGGCACGGTGGCGGGCAGCCATGTCCTGGTAGAGAGCCTCAACAGCCTCGGTACGGCTCATCTCACGGAACTCCTTGTACATGTTGTGGGTACCGGAGCGAGAGTCGTAGCGGATCCAGATACCGAAGTTCTTGACCTTCAGGTGACGCTTCTCGGGGATGACATTGAGGCTGACGATCTCACCGTTGGCCTTCTTGACCTTACGGAGCTGGGTCAAGAAGTACCAGAACCGGGACTTGGCCACGACAGTGTTAGGCGCAAAGATGCGCATGCGGTAAAGCTTGGGCGTGGGGTTAGCCTCGGTGGGCAGATGACGCCCGATGACCTGGTACTCGGTGAGACGCCCTATAATAACCAGTCAGTCATTTTTGGCACATTTTAAAATCTTCAATTCGTGGCGTTCAATTATCCCAATGGCGAGAATCGGTGCGATAAATTCCGTGCGATACGCTGTCACATATTTCGAGGTTCGAGTCGAGAATATTTTCCACGATATGCGACCGTAAAAATTCCAACTTTCCGACCGTGCGTAACGTCCATTCGTACTAAAACCCTTTCCATAAAAATTCACCATCACCGCTTTCGCTGAATCGAGACCATATGATTTTCATGCTCCTCCTCGATACATCTTCTCTCCGGTATTGTGTCGTTCAACGTTCGCAAGGGGATATACCGCACCGATTCGCCAGGGTAAAGGGGTCCGAAGAAGGGAAATTTTTTTTTCACTTACCCATCTGGTAAATCTGTTAGCAACAAGACCTTCAAATATGGTGGATAGATAAGCAGGGTAGGACTCACTTTTGTCGACTGTTGTGGTTGCTCGAGAGAGGTATGCCGGTTGGGTCTCGTTCGTGAAATTGGGGATTTGTGATTTCCGTTGAGTTAGGGCTGCCACCCTAAGCGACCTTGAGGCTTGGCACGGGACACCATTCCCAATTGGGATCGCAGCCACTGTGGCTGATAAGATCGGTCCCGTCGGCGGTGAGGCATCGTTCCCCACCTCATGTTTGCACTTGTACGGAGTACGGAGGAAGCATATCGTGCTTCCATCTCCGCTCAAGTGCTCGGAAACCTGCGATATGGGCTCGACTTGCTAAACCGACACTGAAAGTTTATGATTGATTCATGAACATATCACCATGGCCACCATCTTTGAGGACTTCGTACAAGGCCAGCGACTTGGCTCTGGCCCTCGCCTTGCTGCTGCTCTCACTCCCGTTGCCCCCGCCGAGTACCCCCAACGACTCCAATCGTTCTACCGCTTCTCCAATGCTGCACGTGTATCCTCAGATCTCCGTTATTCTCTTTTTCAGGCCAATGGGTTAAAGTTACCGAAACAAGAACAAAACGCATGGATCGATATCTTTTCAACTTACTGGACCGCCGTCGGGGAGATTATCAAATTCACTGATTCTCCGTCAAGCGCGAGCTGGGTCAAGGTCTTCAACTCTTGGAAAGACTTGGCAAATATTCTCATTAGGGGGTATACGAACTTTGGTCTTCAGGCATGGACAGTTCCATGTCTATACGTCGTTGGAAAATACTTGCGAATCTTCGCCATGAGAGCAGACGCCGAACTGTCGTCTCAAGATTCGGTTGCATTCGGAGATAATTTCCAGGATGACATAGCGGCCGATTTCGAAAAGAGCGCAAAGCTTGAGGAATCGGCTCGCATAATCAACCGAATGTTCACTCTGTGTCTAAGTGACAGGTGGGTCTCACGCGGCCGCATGAGTTGTAGCCCGTTGCTAATCACCGAACTAGAGCCCCGATTGAGGAGTCGCGCAAATGGGGCATATATAATACGACAAACCTGCTCTTCAAAACTTATTTCAAGGTACGGGAAGCATCACCGCCACCGCATTATGCATGTAGCTGACGAAGTACCAGATCAATTCTGTCTCTCTTTCCAAGAATCTTCTTCGCGCGCTCAACGCTTCATCGGCAGACCTTCCAGACATGGAGGTCTTCCCCAAATCTCACATAGTGACTTTCAAATATTATGTTGGGTTGATTCACTTTCTGGATGAGAATTATGCAGAGGTAAATGGCAACTCCAGGCTTTGTCGGCCTCTGAGGCTAACTCTTGCGTTCGGACAGGCTGAAGAGCATCTGGCATACGCATGGAACATGTGTCACAAAGATGCAGTCAAGAACAGGGAGTGAGTTTAGTAACTCCCGCTCAAGTAACCTAACTAACCTTTTGGAGAATGATTCTTGCGTATCTTATCCCTTGTCACCTTGTCACGACACATACTTTACCAAGCAAGAAGCTTCTTGCCCCATTTCCCAGACTCGAGAAGCTGTTCCGTCCACTTTGCAACTGTATCATGAAGGGCGATCTCAATGGCTTCGACAATGCTATGACAGCAGGAGAGGAAGAATTTGTGAAGCGGCGCATCTACCTGCCCCTCGAACGAGGACGTGATATCGCACTGCGAAACCTATTCCGCAAGGTCTTCATTGCTGGAGGTTTTGAAGAACCCAAGGATGGCCAACCGCCGATTCGACGTACACGTATTCCTGTTGCTGAGTTCGCAGCAGCATTGAGGATAGGTACACATGCAGATGATAGATCTCGGGTTGATATTGACGAGGTTGAGTGTTTGCTATCGAACCTCATTTATAAGGTAAGTTTCGCAAACCTTCCCCACGTAGTCCATACGACGCCTATGCTACGCGAAAGCTCATCGGCCACTGACAAAAAATAGGGTCTTATGAAAGGCTATATTGCTCGGGAGCGCGGCATGGTGGTTCTAAGCAAAGGTGGCACTGCGTTCCCGGGAACCGGTGTCTAAGAGCGACATAGTCAGCTTAAGTCGAGAGGCATGTTAGCGCCGATTATCTACTTAATCTCGTCCATATTACCTGCACATACCGTCAAAAGCTTCGATCATCAGAGGATCATTATCTGAACGATCCTGGATGCAGATGACCCAGTTATCAACTTGCGCTGCTCAGCGTTTACGACTCCCCACCAGAACTTTTAGCCCCTTGCGCTATGCACAGATTTCAACTCTAGCCCAATTTCGACACGAACCTTGATGACTAGATTCACAACATAGCTTTTGCTACATGGACAGTAATGGAACATGACGGACTACTGGATACCAGTCATTCAGAGTCTTCTTGCTCAATTGATAGCTTCGACGATTGCGCCAAGAGAGAGAAATGGCATTTTCAATGACCCTAATATAGAAGTTTGCATGATTTACGACGAGCAGATGCACTGCATTGGTTTCAGAATATCAATATTGTACCAAAGGACCTCATCATGGGCGGTAATCTATCTTTGGCTTACATTTACACAGTATACCTGATACAAGACGTGAAGAATTGAAACAAAATAGATAGAATTTGTATTTATATATCTACTACTATAAAAGCACTCCATTCCGTCTGAGGTAAATAACACGCTGTTTAGCGTAGATCCAAGATTACATCAAGCCAAGACAGCCTGCATCGACTCTTAACCAAGAGCCAAAATAATACAAATAGCAGGCTAAAAAGAATCGATCATTCAATGAGAATATTACCCGCATAACATCCCATTATACATTAAAAATCAAATAATCAAAGTCACACAAATACTCCAAACCAGTGGATATCAACAACCCGGAGAAGGCTCAGCCTTAGACTCGAGATCATCCTATCACAAGCATTAGTGTCAAACACATACCATGAGCCGTCTTCAAACACAAGGAACAAGAAAAAAAGAAAAAAGAAAGCGAGATGGAGGGGGAGAACTCACCATATGATTACACATCGCAACAAAAAGATCAAAAAATAATTTCCCTCCCTGTTCCATCTCCATCTGCATCGTACCGCTTCGCTTAAACGTCGACCGACTCCGTATGATCAAAGCGAGATAATGCGCCCGGAGCTTAGACTCGCTCTCGGGGGTATTACTGTAGGCGTAGCGCGCGCTAGTGAGGATGGTACTACATTGGATGCCGGAGTGTAGGCCTTGTTTTCGAAGGGCTAGGCGTTTAAGGAGATCTAGGCCGTATTTATCTGCTGCACAGCTATTGCAGGGGGTACGTGGGTTAGTTTATCCGTTCATGAGGGTGTACCTATACAGAGAAACAGGGATGGAGAGCAAAAGGGTGAGAGGAAAACATACTAAACAGCCGTATCTCTCAATATCTCCGCTCCAGCCGCATGATGAAACAAAGTCGCCCCATTACTCTGACCATCTTTATCGGTCCCCGTATCTTCCAGCTCCCAGGAGTTCAGTTGCTTGTTATGTACCAGCTGGGGATAATAATCGCCCTTGTAGAGGTACTCGAGAACACACGAAAAAGCTTCCGGTTGCTCATCGGGGAGGTTAACTCGTCTGTTAGGAGAGTCTGGCGGTTGGGCTTGGGTATATGCTGCGGCGAAAAACGGGGATACGCATAGGATGTCTTTGTGAGCTGCGAATAGGCGCTTTTGAGGACCTACGCAGAGGGTTATGACGGCTGGGGAGTGTGACCTGGCAATATGTGAGTCGGTTCAGTTTTTGCGAAAATAACTGTAAGTAGGTTTGTGTTGTTCAGGGGCTCTTACCGTCCATCTGGAGGGCTGGATGAGCCATGACGTCTATCTAGACGTCGCGATACTGACGGACTGTCCCGTAGCAGCTGCTGTTTTCTGCTCCGAGATACGATTTTCCCGGCTCCATACTTCGAGGATAGACTATCGGGATTGCCTGGTGGTGTGCGTGTACGTTTTGTAGAGAACATTTTTATTCTTATTTTTCTGGAATCGCTACGCTGTTCGGTCGGCGTTTGGGAGGAACGATTTCTTTTGGATTGAGGGAGAGATATGAAAAGAATAGGCAATAATGGATTCAGGGGCTCCCTTTTCTTTGTTAAAACTCAGGGCAACTCTGAAACGGATGGCGAATACATGTACTACTTCCGTATGAACGTCCGTCGGTACAGATTGTAGAAAAAAGGGGTCTGGGGAGTAGAGTCGTTTTGTGAGCAAGGCGCGGGGGAAACAGAGCCTTTTGTATGTTTTCTGATTCATCCATCTTGTTAACAGCCAGCTCGACAAGGGTATCGTCTCTTGTCTTTGTCGAGAATATTATCTGCGATGATGATTGGAGACGCGTAAGGATGGGTAATGCACGCGTAAAGTGGTTTCGTGCATCGCCAAATACTCGCGCAATCACGGGGCAGCCATTGCCCAATTACGTTCCGGAAAAGGGAAAGGGGGTGTGGATCCCAAGACCGCAATGGGCGAATTGTTTGCTTCATTTGGACTGGAAACTTGATACATCAATTGAATTTGGACGATCTCTTACTTGCATGTTTTATATTTTGTGCAATCACAGATCCCTCTGCTGGTAAAACTTGTAAGAGAATTGGATCTATCCTTGATGGGGGAAACGTGGGGTTGATCGCATGCCAGGCCTTTTTTACTTTGCTTACCTCTCTTCATTTCTTTTTCATATCTAATGAATTTGAATCGTGAGACTCTGAAGACATCACATTGAAGCCAGTAGTTTAATCATTGCATTGATGAAGATATATGCTTGGGCTGTCAATATGCATAGCCCCTAAAACCATGTCCTGTCGGAAAGTTGTCCAATACCCCAAACGCCAGAGGTAACATGCCCACGCTCCTAATTCCGATTCTCATTTGCAGTTCAAAGCTGTGTGTAGAGATGCCTCGCCATTACGCCATTCAACCACCGAAACAAAAACAACCATATCTATAGTGTCCTACAGAAAGACCTTCCTCGCCTCCCGGGGATGACTTTCATTAGGGCAATAAGGACACTTGAATCTACTGCCCTTGCATAACCGTTTAAGGGACTCCTCTGCGATGACGTGACCACATGGCATCATCATCGGGGGGTTTTCATCAGTGGTTTGTTCTTTGGAAACGGGGCAGACGAAAATGGAATGGAAGAGATACGACGGTGGAAGCGGAATTTCGACCTAAATTGTACACAATCAGTGGAAGATAGCACAGGAAGTACACCGACTGCACTCACCGGAAGCTCATTTTCTGTGGTCCACTCTGTCCGCTTCGCTTTCATGATGGTTTGCAGTTTTAATAGGGTCGGCAGAGCTATCGCACCGGCTGTAGCAGCGACGTATAGAGGCGAATCGGCAGATAACCCGAGGAGAGAGCAGAATTCACGAGTGAAAGATTGTGCCACATCTTCCCACGCAGAGGGATTGTTGAAGATGGCCCTGTAAGGAGAGTCTTGCAAATTGGGACAAAAAGCCATTGCTCCCATGAGCTGTTGAACCTCCCGGAGATACCTGGGTAAGAAACTCTGAAATTCGCGCCTGGCATACTCCAAAGCCTCTTGCCTCCCCGTGGGAACAGGTCCCTGCCTGTCAGGTCCACCATAAAAAAGCCAGACGAACTGCAACCGGCACAGTTCGAATTCAAGGTTACTTCCTCTGGCTTCCAATGCTTCCCTGTTATCCCTTGACCATTGGATTGCCGGGAGCAAGTTGTTATTCTCTTTCATTTCATGTAGTATGTAGTACATGGTGGCAAACTGTTTCCGAACCTCGTTCGACGGGACTTCATCTATATCCAAGAGCGTCGCTGCATTTTCCGAGGCACTCGTGCCTGCTTGCTGCTGTGACTCCATGGCCTTCTTCTCCGCCATTTCGGAAAGGAACGTTGCAGCGACGGAGAACTGTCCTTCTCGGAGGAGATGCATTGCGATAGCTCGGTTGATGAGGTGCTCTTGGGAGGCGAGGGCATCGTGCTCGGTTGGAAGCGGCCTGTCCTTAAAGAGCTATGAGGATGTAAGCGAGACGCACTTGATCTCTCGTTTCTTTGTAACTGGTATTTGGTTGGGGTGGGGGGGTGGGGGGGGGGCGATACCTTATCTAAAGCCTTTGAATACTTGTTGAGGCTGCTATGTGTGTCTTTAAGACTGTCATTTATCGAGTCGAAGGAAGACTTCACAGAGTTCTGAAGCTTGGCCAATGTCATAGACGTCTGACTCGGATCTAAGTATTGATAAGTAGTCAAGAACCATTTAGTCATGATTGGTTTGAGTGTCAAGCCGGATGTGAAAGCGAACTGCGGGCATCTGAAACATTAAGAGAGGCGAACCAACCGGAAGCAATGGCGTCTCGTGCGGACTGTAGTAAGTCTATAGTCGTTTGCACATTCTTGATACTCTGAGCAGCTTTGATCTTCTTCGACAGTCGTTCGTGTTCCTTCTGAACAAGCTCCATGGTGGTGAAGTAGGAGGTTGGTGATAAGCTGGGAGTAGTGTGATAAAAGCGGAGTCCGACAAGTTACCGCCGTGATATGGCGATAGCCATACGGGAGCTAGATTTGAAGTTTTAGTAGTTGAATCAGTGATAAGGCAGCAAAGAATATAGAGGAACAGTTCCTCTAGTAGATCCAGCTAGCTAGGTCATCTGGTTCATCCAGTGGAGGTTGTGTGAGTCGGTTGGATGGTCGTTTGCTCTATCGCCGGAGGGACGGCATTACGACATGGGCCGTCACGTGTTCCGGGGGCAGTAGGAATGCTTCCCCTTTACCCCTCCTGACAACGCTGCCAACGTATCAGGCACGGTGCTAACCCTCCAAAGGGGCTGCTGTGAAACAATTGAGAACGGATGACACTTAAAGGTGCTTGCTGTGTCTCCCTTTGCTCCAAAGCCCAAAGAGCTGTAGTTGGCTTACAGGTTGAATATCACCGTTCTGTACGTAAACTTAAGGTGAAGAAGGTCGACATTCTCAAGCGATTGCCTTTCTTTTCAGGACTTACAGCAGTAAAGCATCAGTAATACAATGGAGCAAGAGCCCAGAGCGGGGTTGGTACTTGTAATCCAAGATATTCATAGAAGTTAGAGTAGCTATTGAAGATACGGAGTAGACAAAAAATGGATCGAAAGACGTGGCCTCCTGGTTTTTTACTTAGCATTTGTTCCACGTAGTATTTACTAGTAGATGCATGAGTAGGCTACAGCATGACCGGCTGTTACATTGTACTTGAAAACTACAGTTAGGATACCTTGAGACGGAGCCCAGGTGACTTCTGTTGGAAATGGACGTGAGACTCAACTACACTTACAGCCAATCACAATCGAGGGCTGATCCGATAAGCAGCTCGCTTACGCTAGCGCGGATGTCAAGTCTTGGCCCGTCTATAAAAGGTCGGGACACCCATCAAATCTTTAGAATTTTTTTTCTTTTCCTCCCCATCCTAGTGCACGGGCAATACACGTATCAGTGAGGAGACATCCGAGATCGTGTTTTTGCTAGTTGAAAACTATTTTTTTGACCGCTCCACTTGGCCTTCGGGTCGGGTGGGAATTTTTGAAAACAAACTGCCCTAGCTCATGTATATGAGTTAGTTTAATAAGAGTGCGTCTTGTGGCATCTTTTCATGTCACGACCCATTTGGGAAGTACTCGAGAATCTCGGTCTTCTTTTCACTGCTGTTTGCCTCCCATGTTGGAGGCCTGTAGAGAAGAGGAGTTCGTACCCAATTCTTGTAGATAGTATGTAATCAGATAGTTGCATAAGCTTCAGGAAACGTTGTTCTGGATCTTGTCCCTAGCACTCTTCCGAAGGTGGTTCTGACCGGCATACGTGGCGGTGCTCTTTCAACCCCCTAATTCTCAACATACATGTGTGGCTGAAATGCAACTAGGCAGCTTTTTTTACCGGCGGTTGCTGAATATTGTGGCGTTCTGTACCCTGGGCTAGAAGCGTCTTCACATGTTGACTAGTGATAGCGCATTCAGTGAGAGGTAGTAATAGCAATCAATATCAAAGTCATGAAGATTATCTAGACGACGGTTGAATTGATATTTGTGGCTTAGCCGCTCACCGCTTCCATAAATATGGGCATCTGTGACGTCGCTGAAGACAATGGCAACCCCCCTCTCTATGCCACATTTATCTTGAGGCCATACTTTCTCCAAGCTGTCTACAAACGCCATGGCTGACCCGTGTTTCCGCTTCTCGTCCCCACGTTCCAGACTATAAGTCCGCAAAGACCTCCACACACACACCTCGGATATGTCACGATCTTCTCCTGCTCGCTGGACAGAACGACACAGACCCCAGGAGGGTCAGCCCTTTTCTTTCCCCTTACGCTGCGCTTGGTTTCTGGACACTCCTCGTGGTTACGTTCCTCGTCACTCTTCAGTCTAAGCCCCAAGGACATGAACCTCCATTCATTACCAACACGGTAGTCGCTTTTTGTTTCTACTATGTCGCAATCCGCAACGCAAAACGGCACACAGGCTGCGCCTTCTACTACTACAACTACAATGCAGCGCGAGATTACAAAACAATCGGTTGGCCCCAAAGAAAGCCCTTCATCCCATAATGGTCCTGACGGGCAACCGTCTCTCCCTGGTCACCAGAGGATCGTCTTCACCGATCCTGTCGCGCTCCGATACCTTGAAGAGGACCCTTCGACGATTGTGCTGCATCGACGTTTGATTCTCCAGGGCTATGAGATATACATTGTTGAACAATGGGCCTGTTCGAGGATTCAGCCGACTTTTATAATTACGACTTATACGGGAGAGCCTTCACACAAAGTGGTAGCGGGATTGCTAAGCGTTCCTACGAATGAATCCACTTGGTCCCCCCGCTTAAAGCTATATTTCGATGCAGTTAGAGAATGCGAAGCACGCAGGAAAGAGACACCGTTTGGGACTTTGTCCATAACTGATTTGAGCACATTTCCTTCCGCTCTTACAGTCATCCCGGTGCCTGATGGTGATATCCATAAACACAAGGATGATTTTATCGTGAACGAAAACTTGAAACGGCTGAATTGTTCAGGCCGGGCGGGCCTAAAATTACAACCACCAACGGCAGCAACTGAAGCCAAGTTCTACCATCTCTACCGGACCAGCGAGAGAGTCCCGCTATATTCTGCCGTTATAGAGCTTGTGAAGCAGTGTCAGATTGCTTTGATGATGTTTGGGAACCTGGCTCCGGAGTATGTTGATGGACTCTTATGCGATGTGACAGAAGCAGCAATTGGCGACTGGTGGACGGACATTGGCATAGATCTATACAATATTGAACCCAGCGATGGTGTTTTGGGACCAACTACTGTGGCTGCGCTGCTAGGGACGCTGATGGGGGCTCGAAACCGGCTTCACGCTTTTGGTGCTCCAGTTGGCAAAGATGCCTTTGATATCTCTAACTTAAAAAGAGGAATCAGTAGTTTTCAGAAATCCCAGAAGCTGAAACGGACTCGGAGATTGGACCGTCAAACATTGGACAGACTCCATCGGGTCACTGCAAAGGCCGCAAATGCGGAGGGCTGGACCGATGCCGTTAAGTCAACTATGGCTGAGTTGAGTGGCCATGGAGGCGAGATGGTCATGGGTATGGTGCGGGGCCGGGAAAAAGGCGGCATCGCTGATATTGAAACCCTAGATGTTGACAATTTCGCACACCTAGTCACGGGTGAAAGAGCCAAGTGGCTTTGGAGAGGCAAGCCGCGCAAGAGCGGCATTGGAGACAGCTTTGCTGGAGGGCATCCAGGTGCCGACATGATGTTCACTACAGATGATCAGGGTGGATACCTATGGACCAGTCGCAAACGAAGCTCCCATGATGATTTCATCGCGGAACGCTCTTATCAAGGGTCGGAACGCCCAGGAAGGCCTCTCGAATCAGTTAACATCCTTGATGATAAAGATCAGAATATAGGCAGGTTGGTGCGACGAGGCGTCAGTGGAAAAGTGTCAGATGCGCGAGCTGGGTTTGGCAGGTTCAAGGATGCAGTGGGCCTGCGGTCACACCTCCCGAAGACCAAGGATGATGCGGATTTCGTTGGTGACGCAGCTTATATTCCTCCTTTAGAGAGTGACACTGAGATGGTCCCTTCAATGATCACTTCTGATGGAGGTCGAAAACCCGAACCTGAGAGCATTCCTGACAACGAGATGCCAACCCAGCCTCACGAACCGAGTACCGAAGCACCGCTCAACAACTTTGTACCAAAATCATCCGATGTCAAACTCCCAGCTATAACAATCGAACCCGCAGCATCAAACGAACCCTCCGATGGCTCCCGGAAGGTATCTTTAACTCGGGAAGATGAGGAGTCGCAAGAACTAGAGCGGTGGAAGACGCGATCAACCGACGCAGCCGCCGAAGATCAGACGTCAGAGTTTGGCATCATGTCATTGCGCCGGCCGCATAGCAGTGCTGAGCTTTATCGTGCAGACGACACTGAACATTTGAATAATTACTGGCCGCGACATCTGTCGTTCAGCACTGTCGAAGAGGTCGTGCTGGGATGGGAAGACTTGAAGGGGAAGGTCGAAGACTCTGAAAACGCCGACGCCAGCTTAGAAGAAGCTATTGCTGTAGAAGATATTCTAGTGTCTGACGCGCGAATATTCAGCTCCAGAGTACAAGGCTTAAGTGAGGGCACTGTTCCTTGGGTCGAAAAACAAGTGGGTTCAGTAGATGACCTGAACCGAGTTTTTTACGAAGCACATGAAAGGATCAACACAACTTATATGGAGAAGCTCAACCAATATCAAGGAATTCGAGAGAGATCTAGTGATCTCCTCTCTGAAGAACACTCCTCACTCACGGACCACATGAGACGGGTCGAGATGATGAGCGCAAAACTAGATTACGAGCTTAATGTTCTTGGGTCCAAGGTCGAGGAAGTCGAAACTGGGCTAGGTGAGTTTGAGAGACATATTGAGGAGATAGAAACAAGGGTTAAGACGCTGGTCCGCGGGGAAGAAGAAAAGCAGAACTGCTCGTGGCTTTCACGGTTAGGAAGATTCACTGGGTTCTCTACGTAATTATGGTTTTAGACCGGCACCTGTAATGTAATACTGTGACATATATATATTCACTTCTATTGTACATAATATGAAAAATATTCGATTAACCGTGCCATGCGCAGAACCATGACCAAGACCCAAACACTTTCACCATCCCAGCACTCATCTAGCCGGCTGCGATCATAACCAGCCGGCATAGAGTGCCCCGGAATCGACAATCTTGAGAGCTAAACCCAAATGCAACGCTTCCCGGGAAAAGATGATCTCTGAAACCAAGGCAAGATCCGCGCCTGACAAGGACAACATAAAGGCAAACTCAAGCGTAAAAAGAACATAGATTATGTTTCGGAAGGGAGGTTTGTCCGTGAGGCAGCAGACTTCTCATCCATTACATGCCGAATCCCATACCACCGCCCTGCTTGTTGGCGGCTTCGCCCTGCATCTTCTCGCTGACCTTGATGTTGACTTCGAAGAACTTGGAGACGCAGCGGTCGAGACAGACGGACTCGCCCTTGTTCAGGTCGCCTTCACGGTAGTCATTGGGAATGCACTTCTTGGTGCAAGACTCGGTCAGACTAAGCAGGTTGTCGGCATTAGCATCGTTGTCAATCGAAAATTGAGTTGTATCTGTGAGCGGAAATTCGAAGGGAAAGTTCAAGGCATTATGATATTGAGTGCAAGTTGGGATTGTATTCATGAGCTCACCGGTTGAACATGTCTGAAATCATCTCAACTTCGGTCTCTGCGGCAGCAATCTTCTCTGCCGAGGACATCTTGGGGGGACCGCCAAAGAGGAAAGACATGGTTTTGGTTATTGAAGGGGTAATTGGAAAATGACTAGGACGATATTAGCATTGACGGTCAACTAATTCATGGACTTTTACTGACAAATTTGAAAAGAGATTAGGTTGATGCTGGTATAGAGGATGGAGATAAATGTTGTCTTGAATGATGGTTAATCGGAAGTTCCAGTCGGAAGCTTGGACCACCTTCACCGCCTTCGAACGATTTTTCTTCGGCTTTTCGCTCGTTTTGCTTTTTCATTCCCACACACTCTCTTCCCGTCCGTGATGTGACGGGCTTCGTAGTCTTCCACCTCGTATCCATTGCAAATGCATTCAGTTCGCCCCAGGTGGGCTTCACAGTTGGTCTCCGGGAGACTTTGGTCAAGGTAAGCACCATCACTTATGCCTTTCTTTTATTATATTCTTCCCCTGCAAAGCCATCCGAGGACGAATCAGATCCCTTCCAATTCAGAACCGCTGCAGTATGATGCCTGCAAAGCAGGCAATGAACGCAACGGAAGCTATTTTTTGACTCTGACTGGATTCAATTGCTTGAACTTGTTTTCTTTTCTTCCTTGACGCACATTATCACTTGGATCCTGTGCTAATTTTGAATGATCAGAGCAGGATTGCCCGTCTCTGCCAGTGTAAAATGGGCTTGCTCCTCGAGAGCCCAGCTGGCTCAAACCATTAACCGTTCCTCCATTGTTTCTACAAGTACCAGGAGTAGCAGCAGTGCCGCTTCACCCGAAAGGGCTTTCAAGGAACGGCTACAAGAGGTTCAAAATGTCTGTCCTGATCCGTATCCTCGCTTAGCAGCAGATGGTCGCTCCGTGAGCTGTTCGGAATTCCGCGACCGGTACAACCACTTAGAAAATAATGAAACAGTAGAAGGCGACTCCGTCGTTGTTCGTGGTAGGTCTCAGCCTTAGTCGGCTCTACCTTATTGTTTTTTGTACTTAGATTAGTAGGTAGGATACGTACATATAGACTTGCCGGAAGCAAATTGATCTTCTTCGATATCGTCCAAAATGGCCACAAAGTTCAAGTTATGTGCAACCTTCGTCAACTGCCCGGGATTACACCGGAAGCCTTTAAAAAGCTCTACCGTTTGCTCCGCCGCGGTGATGCTTTCTGTACGTTTCTCAACAGCCACGTCTGTACGTTCACTTGGGCTGAACCCTTGCCATAGCTGTAACAGGTAGACCTCACCGCACCGGCCGAGGGGAGCTCACAGTTGTGGCCACTGAATTGCCTCAACTTTTGTCTCCCTGTCTCCATGATGTTCCCCTGGATGCAAAAGAGCACGAGAACTCGCCATACCCCCGTCATGTCCAGTTCCTCGCAGACCAAACGACGACCGACATTATAAAGGCACGCTCGGCGATCATCCAGTATCTGCGTCAATTCTTCCTCGACCGGTCTTTTATGGAGGTCAACACTCCCATCGTCAATTCGATCGCTGGTGGAGCCATCGCTCGTCCCTTCTATACTTCCGCGACCGAATTTCCAGACCGCCAGCTGTCTCTCAGGATCGCACCGGAATTGTGGCTGAAGCGCCTAGTGGTTGGTGGTTTCGATAGGGTGTTCGAAATTGGACCCTCTTTTCGCAATGAAGGTACGTTGCGTTCAATCCATTCCATGTTTTCCTGCAAAGTACTCATAAATGACTGACGTTCTAAAGGCATCGACAAGACCCATAACCCCGAGTTTACAACATGTGAATTCTATCATGCTTATGCCACTCTAGAAGACCTTTTGTCAATGACAGAGAATCTACTGTCCGGCATGGCACAACATATCCGCGATTCCAACAAAGACGCTACGCTGAAGCCCACCGAAGTTGACTTCTCAACGCCATTCCGTCGTATCGATTTCCTCGCTGGTATTGAAGAGAAGATCGGCCGCAAGCTCCCAAATCTCACGTCTCCAGATGCGGTGGTCCAGGTGAAACAGCTGTTCCAGGACTTGTCACTCGAGATCCCCGAGGCTCCCACACTCCCCCGACTTTTAGATGAACTCTGCAGCATCTATGTGGAACCCGAATGTATAAATCCGACCTTTATCATCAACCCTCCCGAATGTCTATCGCCCTTGTCGAAATCATTTATCCATCCAGTCACTGGCCAGCGTGTTGCTGCACGCGGAGAACTGTTCATCGAAGGAAAGGAGGTGGTGAATACATACGAGGAGGAAAACTCGCCATCTGAACAAAGACGCAAGTTTGAAGACCAGGTACGCTACAGCAAGGATGCGGATGAGTCTGCAGAGATCGACGAGAGCTACCTCGAGGCTCTGGAATGGGGCCTTCCCGCTACAGGTGGCTGGGGATGCGGGATCGACCGTCTTTGCATGCTCTTCACCGGCGCCAAGAGGATTGCAGATGTCCTACCGTTTGGGACCCTACGTGCCGTAACCCGGCGATGAATTCTCTTAAGGTGGAAAGTACTTGCTGTACCCATTAGGTATCTGGATAACCCACCTTCAACTGTACAATAGCAACCTTAATATGTGAAACTCAATAACTATATACATCCCAGTCATGATAATCAACATCTCATCTCAACACCACCCTAATAAGTCCTCGCCACCACCTCCCTCGCAAACTCCCCAAAACTCTTCCCACTCTCCACCTCCTCCTCCAAATTCGGCTGCGTAAACACCGCCAACGTATTTCTCGCAATCCTCTTCCCCGCAGAAGGCTTCGCCCCCTTAACAAAATGCGGCACAGCCCTAAACTTCCCCCTCGTAATAAGCTGCAACGCCTCCCCGGTCTGAAAAGCCAAACAATCCCGGGGGATATTAACCTTCACCACCTCTCCAGTCCGCGACTGAATATAAAGCCCAGCCTTCGGATCTGGCGAAGCCCCCAACTCAACAAGCTCCCCTCCCTCCCCAGGAGGACTAGCAACCTCATCCACAAACATAGCAGAAGTCAACCCCGTCAAACACCCATGATCCAAATGTGTCGCACACCAATCATCATCGCCATCGCCATCGCCATCCCCAGTCTCCGAATCTCCTCCCCCCTCCGCAGGGAAATAATGCAACAACCTCGCCTTCGTCGTCAAACTCGTCCTCACCACATGCTCCAAGTACCCACTCTTATACCCGTCAATATTCGCCGTCGCGTACCGATCACACGCCCTCGCCACCAGCGCCGCAGTGTCAATAATAAGCGTGCAGAGCTGTTCCAGCGCGGGCCGGAACGTGGGCAGTCGGTCCGCCGGCGGCCAGATGTTCGGGGCCGTGTACTCGGATAGATCGGGGAAGTTGACGGCGGGGGCACCTTGGAGGGTTGGGTCTTGGTAGAATGCGCAGTTGACGTAGTAGGAGCCCTTGAGGGTGTCGAAGTGGCCGGACCGGAGGGTTTCTTTGCCGCAGGACCAGCCTACGAGGTATTTTGCCGATGGGCTGGTTAGGGTTTCTGGGAGGTTTGAATGAGTGGTTCAGTTTTGTTTTGTTTTGGGAGGGGTGTGTAGTACCTAGTTCATCGTTGGGGAGGGCTGCAAGGTAGGATGCGTTGGAGAGGACTTGGGTGCGTAGACGTTGGAATTCGGGGTCGAGGTCTTTTACGACGATTATTCCTAGGGAGGACGGGCCGAAGGCTTCGGTGAGGGCTTCGAAAGAGACAGTACCTGGCGTTGATGGTTAGATTTTTTTGTTTGTTGTGGAGGAAGGTTGATATATATCTATATGTATATATATATATTGGTGTTTCTTGTGTTTGCTTACCGTTGATGAGGTCTTTGAGACTCACTGTTACGGCTTGGGCTTGAGGTACGCCGTCTAGACCCATTGTTGCGATTGTATTTGTGAGAGGATCGATCAGTTAGTATGCAAGAGGATTATAGTGGATTTATTGTTGCCCCTCTCAAGGAATTTTTTTTCTCTATATTCCCCGCCTTTTAGTCAAGGTAATGTAGTATTTGGCTGGCGGGCCAATCCGATGCTGTTCATACTGCCGGTTATCTGCGGCATTTCTTTCTCTTATCGCTCGATAAGACATCGGATAAAAGAATGTGGTAGAAGATTAATCGTATTTATGTCTATTTATCCTTCCCTAATCTACAGTAGTCACAGAAAATAATGGCAATTAGCAAACCATGTCGAAGACCAGAACACTAGTGGTTCATCGCCATAAATACATATCCTAGTCGCAGCTGATTTAATAGTCAACCTAGGTCCTGCGCTAGGCATTAACGTCGAGGAAGTCCTTGACGCCTGAACTCTGAAAACGAGTCAAGAGTATCGGCGCGAAAGAGCTTCAGAGCATCCATGAACAAATATCGTGAGTCGGCCGTTTGTCCTAGGGCCCAGGGCTTGGCCTGTAATCACCTCCCTCCGATTCATCCGTTCCCCCCGGGAGTTGATTCATGGCCAACGTAAAAACTTCATCTGATTCAGAGGTATCTTCCTCGTTTGGCAGGCTGGGCCCTTCTTCGGAGCTTACTGGGTTGCTCACGTCCGCGGCCCCAAGACCTGTACTGACCAGCTTGCTAAGCTTGCCAATCTCTGCAAAGTTGGAACCAGCCTTCGTGGACGGTCGACCAACATTGCCGGGAAGCTTGGCCAGGCGAAGATCGGCTGAATCCGCTGTGCCATCAAGAATTCGGAGATTTGCTCTCCACATCTTGATTTCACGTGCATCGCTGTAGTAGCCCACATCCTGGCCATTGAGTGTATCAATCGCGAGGGTCTGAGTTCGAAAGTCGCCCCAGAACCAGTCTTTCCCTTCAGGAATACGTTCATCAACTTTCCGTGAATACTCCCTCGCCTTGATTACCCCCGACAGATCCAGCCCCAAAGAGCGAGACCCGAATAAGAGGTCCATAGCATCGGGATCGTAACAACGACCGATTATCATATTCTGCGAAACCTCCACCGTGGCGCCTTTCCACACTCTGTACCAAGACCCATATCCACCCATGCCAATCGATTGAAAAACGTCAATGACTTCCTCGGGCTTCATAGGCAACTGTTGGCTCGTCCCGTCGGTCCCTGCACTAGATCTTCGAGGCGCGTTCGTATAGACCTTTCCTGCAACTCGAACCTGATATCGCTCTGCCAGTTGGTCCGACATGAGATCGTTCACGCAGTTGACAAGTTCCAGGCGTATCTCGTCAATGACCATAACATCCTCAACGGCCTTATGGGCTTCACACGAGTAAAACTGGCGATTTGGTTTCAAGCGGACAGCATCTCCAATAACCAAGAGCTCAGCTCCGATGAAAATACCTCGGCAATAAATGGCTGCGTTCGGCCAAGTTCCTTTAAAGTGATATTTGTCCAGAAGACTGAACGATGACATTATCGTCATCGCATACCCGATGGAGGGATGTAGCTTTTCGGGCGGAATCCCTTGCAGAAAGAGCTCGTATGCATTGAAGGGCTTGATACCCTGCAAATGGACATATTTGTAGTGCAATGAATAACTTTTATCGTAGCTTTGAGGATCAGGAAAGGTCTCCACGCGAAAGCCGGAGTAGTTGACACCCCATTTTTTGGGCGCTGTTTTGACTAAGTCCTGAAGAACTATGTCTTCTTCTGGAGTCTGGCCTACAATACCAACCCGCCATTCGGGGGTTCCTAACCATTGGCCTTGGTTGGGTGCGTACATTTCGATGCGTTTGTTTTCGTGGTTCCAGACCAGTTCCCCCTGATAATCCGGAGCCCAGAGTACGACTTCTCCGGGTCGAGGAACGTAGGAAGGCTGCATGCCTAACTGCTCAATATACTCGTCAAGTGCGGTCTTCTCGGTCCTCCAGTCCATGCTTTCAGTCTCTTGTATTCGCTCATCCAGAACACCATTTTCTTTGAGCCTCATGACGGCCATTTTGAATACGTCTGGTGTTCCTTCACTATCAAGGATAGCGCGCATTCCGGCCGCAGCAGACCTACCAGATGGCCTACCGGGCGGTCTTCCAGGCGGTCTTCCAGGCAATTTCCCATACGGCCGCCCTGGAGGACGACCTGGTGTCCCTCTAGGGGGCATGTCGACCGGCCTGGCAAGACTGGAACTTCCTCTCCCTCGTCCTCTCCCTCGTCCCCGTCCTCGTTGGGAACCATCTAACATCGTTGGAAGTACATTAGCGGACATGGTAGAGAGTGAAATACGGAAGAAGCGCCAAACCTTTTTCACGCTTTGCCACTTTGTCACAAAGCATGCAATGGCAAGTCCCAACCGCGCCTGTCACCAGATGGTAAAAATGTGGAAAGAACTGGAGTATCGAGGGGAAGTATTGCCCAATTGGATGTCCCCAAAGAAATCTATCACGCTTGAGGTGAAAACTGTTAGACTCAGAAAAGTTTTGTACCATAGTAGGACAAAGACTTACAATGGTAGGATCCGTTCCACGCGGCCTATCAAAGAGGGCGTAACCGTCTGGCAAGCGGTCGATCATATATCTCATCCCTGAAGATCACTGTTTAGCTAGAAAGGACTTGAGGACCATGTGTGAGATTTAATTGATAAAGAAGCAAAGGAACCAGTACAAAGCAGTCACAGGAACAATTTTGGACCAAGGATCTATCTCACGCATCGAACGACAGGATCCGGCAAGATAATAGATACGAATATACAAAATATAATATCAAGCAAATTGAAAACCAGTTGAAGTAAACAGGGCGATATAAAACTAGCCAGCAAGTCTTGAACACTAGGGGTACAGGAGAGGACTGGTGCTGATGCTGGGGAAGATTGCTGCAATAGAACTGAAACGATGATAAGAGCTACCAGAATCGATGAATGACAATAGTTATCATAGAGATTAGAAAATAAAAGTTGTCCATACCCTCTTCGTATGCTCCAATTTTCTGCAGCCATAACGTTGCCAATTTCTCCCGGTAACTGCTATCATTTGGCATGCCAAACCTGGCTTCGGTGGGCCAAGTTGACTTATCTCCATCACTGACAGATCCATCTATAGGGATTATTATTACATTTTCGCTCTCGTCCCCTTCCTCTGCCGGGTGTGGTAATTGTGGCAGGGACATTTTAATAGAGAATGAAGAAGCCAACACCCTTAGAATAGGCGTATCGGAATTTAATCTAGAAATGGCGTAGATATGCCATTCTTTAGAAGAAGAAGAAATATTTGGTGATCAGATAGTCATCCATGGCCCTTATTTTCAGTAAAGTATAAGGGTGGATCTTCTGGTAGATGTAAAATAGAATAATTATTTTGATTTCCGTCAGGCACAATGCGATGATCCGCTTTGCCCCTTCTGAGTGGACGGTGGTCATGTGACTACATACGAACAATAGATTCGTGAGTACATGATGATTGATCAATCTCACTGCAATCAGGGAGAAATAAATGACTCAAGAACTACCAAAAAATCACGTAGATCCCACTTTCAATTGAATAGTGAGGCTTCGTGGGTAATAGCCACTATAGTACTTTGACTTCTATCTCAAGCTCATGCCAATACATACAAGACATTATATACTCTCCGCTCTTACTCCGTACCCCGTTCCAAATTCAATTCCAACTCCAATCTCACTTTCATCAGTTCGACACTTCCTCGACAGTTTGGCTTTGAGTTGTCTCCGGCTCTTCCGTATATGATGGCGGGGACAGCTCTCCCTCCTCAACCCAAACCTTCCGTAGTTCGTTCTCAATTTCCTCTCGGCGTTGTTTCCATTCATCGACCTTATCCAGCCGCTTACGAAGTTCTTGCAGCTCTTTCTCAACATTCATCTTCTCCTTAGCCGTGCCAATCCGCTCAAACTCCCACTGTTCGCCTTCGGAGCCAAGGCCAAGGGTGAGGTTGTAAGTGTGATACTTTTTGAGAGACGCACGCGTAGAGATTGTGATGAGTGTAATCCCGCGCTCCTTGGCCCGTTCGTACAACAAGCCCTCAACATCTGAGGAGACAGCAGAGGTTCCCTCGTCGAGGAAGGCGTAACGGGGCTCATGGTAATATAGACGTGCCATAGCCATTCTTTGCTTCTCACCACCACTCAGAACATCCTTCCACTCCTTCCGGGAGTCCCATCCACCTTCGCGGGTAGGGAGGTAACCTAAGTGGGCGTCATCCAAGACCTTCTGGAGACTTGCATCTGATATACCTCCCTCACGCATGTCGACCTCCGTGTGAGGGTAGATGACTTGGTCACGCAAAGTACCCACACTGAGGTAGGGTCGTTGGGGAAGGAACATGATTCCGTCCAATCCAAAGCCCCTTGGTCGACTAACTAGCCCACGATAAACCGGCCATAATCCAGCTATTATACGAGCAATAGCAGATTTGCCAACTCCGTTCGGGCCAGAAATAAGCAGGTGATCTCCAGAATGCACAACGAATGACAGTGACTCAAGAAGCTCATCGCCACCATGAGGATAGAGAGATGGTGCGACGATTGGAACATTTTCAAGACGCACGCCATCAAATCCATTATGGATGGTACCCTGAGCATCGGCTAGAGAGTACAGCTCCGCACGGGAGCCGCGTGGAGGATAATATGCGTCTGCATGAACCCTATGGAGTGTCGAAATCAGTGTGTAGACACGCGAGGTGTAACCAGCCAGTTCCGAAATGTCCTTGATACTGTACATCATTCGACCACCGGCATCTGCTAGAGACAGCATCAAACGTTTGTTCGTGATGAATTCCTTCATACGGCCCCGTTCTCTCCCGACCGCTTCAGGTGTATCGGCTAACTCCAGGGCACCGCCCAGGCCACCCCATGCAGGGAGAAATACAGGCAAAGATGTGATCAAATAGCCGAAGGCAGACCAAGAATATTTCAAGATAACATCCTCGAGCATATTATAGCGGATCTTCAGGCTGTAAATTCCCTCTAACCAGCGCTGGAGATCCTTGAAGCTTCTCATTAAGAAGACTCGCTCAATGTCAGCTCCCCCATAGAACGATATCTCTTCAGCGTTCGCAAGTAACCTAGAATGAAGCCCTCTGAAATCTCCTTCCTTTTTGCCCTCGACGGCCTTGAGCTTGCCGAACGGAGGTGACAGTTTACGCAGAACAATTGCAGTGCCGAAGTAGCCCGTGAGGATTCCGCTAAGGGCCAAAGGCCCCAGAGAGCGGTACAATTGATAGTTAAAGACGAATAAATCCACCAGTGGTTTCCCCATGGAGGAATACAGTGCAGCGGCTGCAGAGCAGAAGAGTGTGAGATCCTGCGTGATGAACTGGTCCGCACCCTGACCAATGCCGCCGTCCAGATTCATCAACTTATAATAATTGTCATCGCCAGTGAGGTACAGATCGTGAATGTACCGGGTGAGTCTCGTTCGAAATGCGATAGACACCTTCGACTGCAGGAACTTTATCATGGCATTCGTATACGAAGCAAGCGTACCAATGCCACACCATTTGACAATACCCCACATGAACGCTCGGCCTTTCCCTGCAACGAGGTCTCTCACGATCTCGCCATCCAGCCTTGCAATTAATAGCGATAAGTACGTTCGTAGAAGTAAAAAGACGCCATGACCCATAAGAAGGCCGGTCTCCTTACTACCCCATCTAGGGACCATGATACTCCCAAGACTAAGAAACTGGTGAAGGAAAGCAAGGTTTAGGCCCGGCTTAGTTGTCGGTGGTGGAATCTGATTTGATTCGCCATCTCCAGCGCGAGCCGAAGCTGGAGGGTTTAAGAAAAGCCTTCGATGTGCATCAAATGTCGTAGGTTTGGTTGGGTGGATAGTAACTTTAGACGTCAGAGAGTCTTTGTAAGGCACGTATATGGTGCGAGACCCATCCTTTCCCCTAATTCCAGAGTTTCGCCGTAACAATCGTCTGCCCTGGGCGCGTTCCTTCGCCCTCTGTCGTAGTCGTTTGTACCCTCCATATCCGGTTGCTATGATCGAGAGCAGCAGCGCAACGGTGGCAATCAGCTTGGTTGTTTTCGATGAACGCTTAAAGCGAGAACGAACCAAGTTGAGGTAGTAGTGGTATAATGTGGCGAGGGGATCCTCCCGTGAGCGTAGTGTTGACTGGGCGGCCATTGTGACTTAAATACCGGGGCACTTGGAGTCGAGCGGGGAGCTCACACGGCGCCCTTCCTTAAGCCAAGGCGACATAGGCCATGAAAGCGTCTGAGTGGGACGCGTCTGGGAGTTGTATGGTGTGTGTGTTCAGTCAAGGTCGTGAGTGAGTATAGTAAGGGAATAAGTTCATTCATGGATAGTTGGCGAGTTTAACGATCTGCCGAACAAGTCACATTATGGGTGATGCTGACGGCATCGTGTTGTTGCATGTGAAGAACCTCGGGTCAGTGCAATTGCGGAGAGCTCACGTGCGGGCTTGTTTCCCCAGATTTGCTTACTACAGTACTTAGTACGGCGGACTAAATCGAGGTTTCTTTTTACCGAAACTTAGTGTTTTACAATCAAGCTACGGCTGCCACACATTTTATCTGGTAGCGCTCTACACTATAGAATATACTATTCTATAATATATGGAAGCACATTCCCGGCATACAGGAGATAGCTGGCAGCAAGCGTTCGGAGCGCTGGTGGTCAGCAAGTGGTAAAGATACCACTCACTATCTAGTATTAAGAAATGTAGGATATGTAGAATTTTAAGAAAAATATAATAGATCTGTAGATATGGATGTGATTTAATGGTCATATATCTGTAATAATATGACATCGATAGTAAATCATAGCTAAATAGCACTATATAGTTTGTGTATGTTTACACAATATAGCTGTATTTTGGCTCAGTATGTCTCCATTTCTATATATCATAGCCTCTTGTATGCTCCATGGTCACTACTGATTTTAAACATGTGTTGGTTGAATAGGAGCAAGCTGTCGGATTAACTTGGGTGGAAGGGAATAAGGTGGTGGGCCTGTCTTGGGATTAATTTATAGGTTTCTCACATAGTATCTATATATCTGTCGCTCGATCTTCTGGTTTGATGAGTGGTATACCCTAGCTAACTCACAAGCTACTGACATAAATAAATACAACGACCGATTCAATGGGACAATATGTGACGAGCAAAATAGGCCCGGGGGAATTATCTCAACATTAGAACTCACGAATGAGCCGCACTTCAAGCATTTCATGCGTTCGCACGCCGACTGCCTATAATTCACGTATAAGTCGTCGCGACGGAGGGATACCAATCCTCCCCATAAGTAGAGTTAAGATTGACCTTACCAGAGACTGACCCATCTTCCAACCGTACCCAAGTCACGATTTGTTTTTCCAGAGTCGTCTCATCCAACAAGATCTGTCGTGATCCCCGAGTCCATGAACCGTATCCTCCATACCCACTATGACGCCCGAAGCACAGGTTCAACCCGTTGCCAGTGAGATTCATACCGGGAAGCTTCGAGTCCCATTTGAAGCACCTTTTTGTTTGTTTTAGCATGGACTAACGG